GACATTTGCATATCTGTTTGTCTGTCCGTCATTTCCATCATGTAAGTATCCCATGATCATTCTCATCCAACCATTGTCTCTCATGGCGTTCCATTCCATCTTGTCACACATCCATCATTCCATCCGGAATGCTTCCATGTTCCCATTCGAGCTTCAGTCCGCTTAGATGGATAGTCAGGGATCAAACTGCAGAAGAGAAAGAGAGAAAAGTCATGTTCCTTTCTGTAGTGCCTCTCAGTGCTGTGAGGAACATGAACATCTACAAAGAGCGCTCCACCACCATGAATGTGAGATGGGATGCGGCCGAAGGGGCCACAGGCTACATGCTTCTCTACGACGCCCTTAATGCCACTGAACCCTCTGTGGAACAGGAGGTACGGTGACGCCACACATTTCAACCACTGCCCAGTCTGCTGTCCCGTCTCATCTAGTCAGTCAGCCTTTTGGAAAGGCCAGTCTTGAAGCTGAATATTTAAAAAAATAAATAAATACAAAACGTATTCATCAGGACTTACTGGAAGAGACAAAATGTTCTAATGGAAAACCAGTGGTGCTAAACAGCTCAAATCTGTCAACAACTATGACATACTGTAGCAGAAAGAGGAAATGGAAAGCATTTTTGGAGATATTGTAGATACCACAGGTGGTAGGTCTACATTTATTGGGTTCAAAAACGTCCTTTATATTACAGTGTTTGTAAAATAACAGCTCATTAGTGCTTTGGGGTTTGTTAGCACAGTTCCTCTTTGCAAGTATTTCACAAAGTGAGAAGATCCAGAGGTCTCGACTTCAGTTCTGGCTTGAATCTGATGTCCACAGGGTTTGTCTGACAGAGCAGATGTTTCAATATTGTTCCTCCATTTTTTCATTAGAAAATAAAAGAATATGCTTAGAGTTTTTGTTATAGTTGGTAGATACTGTCATAATGTCTTCACTGCAAAAAATATTTTCTTCTTCTTCTTTTTTTCTTACTCTTTTTGTCTTATTTTTTTGCCTTATTTTCCAGTTCGATCTATCTAAACATTCTTGAGAAGCAAAATTAAGCCTTGTTTTCTGAAAAAATGTCTCAAAATGAAGTGGGTTTATGCTTAAAACAAGAACAAATGTCTGCCAGTGGGGTCAAAAAAATAAACTTAACTCAAAGGGAAAACAAGTTTTCATATCCCACTTACAAACAGTTGATTTTTTAAAGTATAAACTCACTTAATTCAGTTCAAATTCCCAAAGCAAAACTTTATATTTTCATTTTGCATCTCAAGTAAGTGTATCTTGATTTAAGGATATTTGTACTGAAAAACAAGACAAAAATACTGAGGAACATATTCGGTTTGGTTTTTTTTCATGCAAAATGTAATGTCATGATGACTTTATGAATTTTAAGACTTTCTGTTCTAATTAAAATACTTTTTTAAGGCCTTAATTTTCTACCAGAGCCAAACTCTGGTAGAATTACAATCTTACCATGTGATGCCTCCGCTGTCTGTTGGAGACTATATGTAGTGGTTGCTGAAGAAGAGAGATCTTCTAAAAAGATGGATAAATAAAACTGTATAATTAGAATTTATTCAACACAACATTTGAATAATTTCATTATGCCAAGTGCAATACAGCCTTACTGCTTTTGCCACATTCCTCGAGAGTAAGTGTCCTGCACACTCGAGAGGTGTCTATAGTGCTGCTGTCTCCTGAAACAGATAACACTTATCTATTTACAGTTATTCATACAAGAGGTGAGGGATTATAAATATTAAATGGGATTTTAAATACTAAACAATTACAATGTACAGTGTGACTTTAGAATAAAAAAGCACATAAAACACACCTGTAGTTGAAGCCGTTCTCTCCACTTTTGTCGTATCTTTTACAAGGAACATCAAGTCTTTAGGAATGGACACAGGTATTGTGGGGCACATGGGTGGTGCTAAAAAAAAGAAAAGATAAAAACAAAGAAGAAGAAAAGATCAATACCATAGTACATGAGACAAATGTTTGAATAGATGGACAGAATTACAATGCATTTACCATGAAATTGTGTCACTCTGAGAGGGAAGCAGAAGGTACTGCAGGATTAAAATATTAATAATAATTAGGCATCGGTTCAGCTGCTGAGGATGATGATGGTGGTGCTGGTGGTAACACACAAAACAGTCAAACATTTGCGAGAAAACAAATCGGAAAATACAATTGATTTAGTAAAGCACAAAGAAAGCATACTTACACTGCACCTGTAGCTTGGAGGGGGTAATGCTCAGCAATCAACATCTTCATCCATCTCTGTGTGTGTTGGAGAAAGACAAGAAGGTTGTAAAAAATAAATAAATAAAAAGAAAGAAAGAAAAAAAAAGTATTACCCAGAATGATTTCTTAAAATATAGCTCTGTGTTAACTGAAGCATGATGTATGAGTAAAATCATAAGTTATGTTATTTGTTTATATGAGTTGATACAATGGCAATATTTCCTGCTAAAGAGCAAATGAGAAATGGGCAGAGTTATGGCACTTGATGTGGGCACAGGCCGACAGGTTGACTGCTGCTGCTTCCGCAGGTATTGCTGCAGTTTGTGCATCCGTGTCCCTGGGACACAGGTCGCCCCCAGTGCACAGGATGCATATCCATCAGCCCTGCTTTTCCAAATCTCCTGCCATGTGCTCTTGTAATTTTGGTCATCCTCTGATGAGGCTGCTGGTGCAGCTGGTGTTGTGGACACATAGCTAAGAGGAGACTCAATTTCTTCAAAGCTGTGAGCATAGTTGACAAACGACACCAGGCTGTGTTTGCTGTGTCCCTCTGCCCTAAACTCTCCAGCAGCCTCTTCCTGCTGCAGGGTCTTCATCAGATATATGGTGTACCCCATGTCATTTTCAAGGAGCCACCGAAAGGACTTGCCCTTGTATTTTCCAAATTGGAGGATGTATTCGCCCAAAACCTCTCTCTTGTCTGAGGCATCCCCTCCTCTCTGACGGACAACAGTCAGAGCATGTTGTCTGACAAGGTCCTGCTTCATGGGCGCTGACTTGTCCTGCAGTGATGGGTTGCTTTTAATCAGGCTTGCCTCATCAGTTGGCTCCTGAAGGTGATATCCTAGAGGTCCCTTACGGAGAACAACCTTCACTTTTCCAGGGAAAAACATGACTTCTTTGTGCATGTTGACCTATAGGACAGAAAAAGCAATATTTCTATCATACACACACACATACATACATATTCATATATATATACACACACAGAAAATACAAAAATAATCATAAAGCTACTATAGTAAAACTAGTAATCCTGCTGTTATGGGCAGATTGATTTTCATTCATAATTTCATGAATGTACAGCAAGTACAATGGCCAATACAGTAACAACAATGGCAAATTTATGGTTGTGATTCTACTACTAAATAACGAATTACGGTTACGGTTATAAAACATTCTCACAGGACAACAAATCACTTTAATTTTTAAACTGTGGAACATATCTATGTAAACTCATTACAAAAAAAAAGGGTTAACCGGTTCATAATTTAGCTTGCAATTAACGGATGACGTATTAAAATTGACAAACAACCTTTGGCAAACTCCCTCAAGAGGGAGAATTTCATGTGTAGTGCTTAGAAAATAAATCTGAATTCAGCCGTGGTGGAAAGAGTACTGAGAAACCATACTCAAGTAAACGTACTATTACTTCCCAAAAAATGTAGTCCGAGTAGAGTAAAAGTACCTGTCCTAAAATACTGCTCAAAGTACGAGTAAAAAGTAGCCATTTCAAAAGTACTCAATAGTGAGTAGTGAGTATTATGCTGTGAATGCTATTCCACCTTATACGCTGCAAATTAAAAGTATAGTTTACTGTGTCATTTACTTTTATGGATGTTTCTCAGTAAAGAAAAAAAAAGAGAGAATATTCCTCAAACGGTTTTATTTTTGACTGCTAGCACTGAAAATCCAGGCTTATATTTGAACAAACAACCAATAATCAGGTAACATTTATGACAACCATTATATAGGGGTCTTCTTTCAGGTTAATACAAAAAAAAGGTTGCAAAGGATTGTACATTAACAATTTACCGTAAAAAGATCAGCCTGTAGCACAAATTAGAAAATTAAACTGAAGTGAATATAACGTTTTGAATTTCGGAAGAAGAATCGCTGCACTGATGAGTTCTGGATCTTCCTTAAACTCCCCAAAGCGCTTTTGTAGACCCTGCTGCAGAGCATGAATAAGCGGAAGACATACCTTGATGGAAGCCTCCATCTTTTTGAGCTTGGGATCAAGAAGACAGATGGTGGGAAGCAGCCACCCCATCTGAGTGTTTGTTTCAGACTGAAGGATGTTCAAGGCCATGGATACAAGCTTCATCACAATGCAGTACTCAGAGAGGTAAGAAACTTCAGCAGGATTTAGCCTATTAAATAAAAAGAAAAAAAGTCAATCAAAACACAAACACCTTAAGTATTTCAATTAGAACAATGTGAGATTGAGCAAACAGACTTACATTTTAATTTTGAATGCTGTACATGTACACATTCCGAAGGGATGCTTCTCCCTGCTCCTTTAGGATCCGCATTGCCCTCTCTGCTGCATTCCATCTTGTGTGGTTGGGCTGAATGAACTGCAGCTTACATTCTTCTTGGACGATCGCAGGCCCTGTCCACACGTTTTAAAACCGCAGCTTTTTCTACACGGTTTGGCCGTTCGTCCACACGTGTCCCTGCCAGGATCTGACTCCCCTCGCGTGCACGCGCATGACGTC